GGATGGATGGTGGGGAGAACATCCATCCCACACACCACCCCCCCTCCCTTCTAACCCCCATCCCGCCACTGGACCCTCCCCGCCCCCCTCCCTCCAGACACATCTGGATCTTATTAATACAGAATGCTTCCTTGCTTCCAATTCACCATACTGTGGATTGGAGGCAGACTGACTGATATTAAACTCTTGTTGTTTACTGACTGTGAAAGCCTGATTGACTGTAAATGCCTAACCGGTTGCTACCACAACTGTGAATGCTTGAAATGCATGACTGATTTGTGACTAAGTGACTGGTTCTGACTGCCTGCCACATAACAGAGGCTGTGAAATGTTTGAAAGGAAAATTTGGAACCAGTGATGCAGATATGATTAATATGCTTTAGGTGAGCAGGGAATGGTCTCACCTCCCTCCTCCTCACCCTCCCTATACACCACCACCGCTCTCCCTCCTTACCATCTCCCATACGCCAACAAGAGTTATCAGTAAAGGTGAAGTGTATTTAAATGTTCACTTAGGGTATTTATGGTTTATATTTATACCCAATTGTTTTGTGTATGAAAAATATGAGTAGTATTCTGTATAAAATGTATTTTTAATTAATATTAATTTTGGGGGTGTGAAAAGGATTTAATTCAATTTACATTATTTCATATGGGAAAATTTGCTTTAGATAAAAAAAATTTGGATGACTACATGTCTCTGGGAATTTATTACAATCATGAACAAAGGTACCACTGTACATTATTAATAAATACAAATGTTGACTGGGGTAGAGGCTAGCTGCCTCTCCTCCCCTCTTTCCCTAATACAATGTACCACTGACACCACAATTTATTATGAATTCTTCATTTTGACTACGTAATATGATAGAGCAATGTGTTACAAGTCACTGAAATGGTAACATTTTCTCAGGTAATTATGTGAAAAGCAGCAAAGCAGTGAGTGAGTGAAGCATTGAGGCAGCAGCGGCACCAGCCACGTGTTGCCAGTCAGCTGATCACTCGGGCCAGACCATCCTTGTTGTGGTGGATGAATCTCTTTACTCGCCACTGACACCACCACCTTCCATGACACCACTAAACCAACCTGCCTCTTCTGACAACTTCACCACTGACACCACCTGCCTCCCCTGACACTATCTGCCTTCATTTACACTCACTACTAACACCGCCTGCCTCTCCTGACAACTTCCACCCCTGATACCATTTGCCTCCCAGGACAGCAACTTCCACCACTGACACCACCTGCCTCCCCTGACAACTTCCACCACTGACACCACCTGCCTCCCCTGACAACTTCCACCCCTGACACCATCTGCCTCCCATGACAACAACTTCCATTACTGACATCATCTACCTTCCATGACTACTTACATCACCTGCCTCCCCCTGACAACAACTTCCAGCACTGACACCACCTGCATCCCTGACAACAGCTTCCAAAACTAACTCCACCTGCCTCCAATGAGAATAACTTCCATCACCTGCCCCCTGACACTAAACCCTAACTACTAACACAACTTGACCCCCCCTTGCCTCCAACCCTCACCAATGACACCACCTACCTCCCCTGACACCATTTTATCATCGTTTAACCATTTCTCCCTGGAAACATTGAGTAGAGCAAAATAAAACACTGTACAACTGTTTACACTTTGATGAATCATACAGTGGTACCTCGGATTATGAGCATCCCTGTTTATGAGTTTTTCGGATTACGAGCAGGATTTGCTCGGAAAATTTACATCGGAATACGAGGGTGTTGACACGCGTGCAGGCCGACCTAGTGTGTAGTGGCACAGCGATCGCCCCTCAGTTTACCAGTGCCTATCCCGCCTGAATTCTTCACCAGGATTTACAGTGTTTTGTTGGACTTTTGGCCATTTGACCATAAAAGTTGTTATTATATATCTCACCATGGGTCCCAAGAAAGCCAGTGGTAAGGATCAAGGCAAGAAATCGCAGGTGAGGATGACAATAGAGGAAAAACAAGAGATCATTCGTAAGCATGAAAATGGTGCATGTGTTGTTGAACTTTGTAGGCAGTACAGCAAATCCACGTCAACGATGTGCACTATAATTGCCAAGAAAAAGGACATCATGAGTGCTAAAGTGGCAAAAGGCATAAGAACAATCACGAAACAAAGACCACAAATACTTGAGGATGTGGAAAAGTTGTTATTAATTTGGATACACAACAAGGAGTTAGCGGGTGATAGTGTTTCAGAGGCCATCATTTGTGAGAAAGTCAGGGTATTGCAAGAAGACCTTGTAAAGAAAACCCCTGGAACGAGTGCAGATACGATAGACTTTAAGGCAAGCAGGGGATGGTTTGAAAAATTTAGAAAAAGAAGTGGTATTCATAATGTTGTGAGGCATGGGGAGGCTGCCAGCTCAGACAAACCAGCGGCTGACAGATTTACTGAAGAATTTCAAGAGTTTGCAGAGGCTGAGGGATACCTACCACAACAAATGTTTAATTGTGATGAGACAGGACAGTTGTAGAAAAGATTGCCTAAGAGGACATACATTACCAAGGAGGAAAAATCATTGCCCGGACACGCCCATGAAAGATAAGTTTACGCTTGTGCTGTGTTCAAATAAGAGTGGCGATTTGAAAATTAAACCCTTGCTTGTGTATCATTCTGAAAATCCAAGGGTTTTCAAACAGTATAAAGTGCAGAAAAACCAAATGTGTGCGATGTGGAGGGCTAATAATAAGGCATGGGTGACTAGGATTTTTTTTTTGCCATAGCAATAGCCTTGCCCTGCCATAGAAAAATATCTGCAGGAGAAACATTTGTCACTCAAGGCCCTGAGTGACAAGACCTCGACAATGCTCCTGCTCATCCTCCAGGCTTGGAAGATGAATTGTTGCACAGATACAGTAAATTTCTCACAGTAAAGTTCCTTCCTCCTAACACCACTCCTCTAATTTAGCCTATGGACCAGAAAATCATAGCGAATTTTAAGAAACTTTATGAAAGGGCACTTTTTCTGGAAATGTTTTGAAGTGACTGAAGCCACAAAACTCACCCAGAAAGAGTTCTGGGAACACCATTTTAACATTTGTAGTGCTTTAAAACTCGTTGACAAAGCCTGGCAAGAAGTGACTCAAAGAACCCTGATCTCTGGCTGGAGAAAATTGTGGCCTGAATGTGTGACAGAACTAGACTTTGAGGGGGTTTGAGCCTTTAAATGATGTGCCTATTGTTGAGGAAATTGTTACTCTGGGACGGCAAATGGGATTGGAATTGGAGGGTGCTGATGTGGAGGAGTTGGTGGAAGAACACAACAAAGAACTGACAACCGAAGAACTCCAAGCCCTTCAAAAGGAACAAGAAGACACAGCTGAGGATGTTTCTCCAGTGGAGGAGGATGAGGCAGCAGCGAATGTCCCTTCTGCAACCATTAAGAAGTGGTGTCAGATGTGGGAAGAAATGCAAACTTTTATTAAAACGACTCACCCAGAGAAAGCTGTAGAGGCCGTTGCATTAATCTTTTCAATGACAATGTGATGCCTCACTACAGAGACATCTTGCGAAGGGAAAAAAAATCATCAATGGACCGCTTTGTTGTGAGAAAATCGAGCATTGAGCCACAACCAGGACCTAGTGGTATGCAGGCAAAATGTGCCAGAGAATGCACTCCAGAGGTCCTCACTGCCTGATGTTATAATGGAAAGGGACTCCCCCTTCCAAACAGTAACACCTCACCTCCTTCTCCCCTCCTCACCATCTTCCATACGCCAACAGCAGTCATCAGCAAAGGTAAGTAATAACTTGGACATACTTTTGTAGTGTAGATTTTGATGAATTAGGTATAAAATTTAGTTTGAGGTGAGGTTTTTGGGTAGTCAGGAACGCATTAATTATTTTCCCGTTATTTCTTATGGGGAAATTAGCTTCGGTTTACAAGTTTTCGGATTACGAGCTGTCTCCAGGAATGGATTAAATTCTTAAACCGAGGTACCCCTGTAGTTGATAGTAGCCATCTCTGACACTCGGTCTCGGTGACCGCCTGAACGAACAATCCTAGTTTAATCAAACATTTGTGTGTTCCACTGAACATTTAGTAACAAATGCAATTTGTTTGGACCATCCAGGAATTCATTAGAGCAGGGTTTGTTAGAGTAAGGATGCATTGTGTCATGTTCATAAAACAATAAAAGAATATTTTTGCTGTTTATACACATGTTATATATATAAGTATCTACATGTTTGTTCACCATAACCATACAACTAAGCCGGTATGGAGTCCAAACAGCATAGTGGCCACCATACACTGTATGACACAAGTCACACAGCAGTTAGTAGACAATGCCACCTCCATCACCAACATGCTTCTGTCAGCATACCGTTTTTGTTGTTATTACAACAAAAACACATTATATATAAGTATCTACATGTTTTATTCACCATAACAAATCACTATGCTGGTATGGTGAGTTCAGACAATAACAGCGTCTGCCACACACAGTCAGTTGACGATGCAACCTCCCTCATCCCTCACCAACATTCCTCCTCCCACCATACTGTGCACATTGCTAATTCTCACCACAATCCTGCTATTATCCGAATCCTAGACACTAAATCCTGTATATTAATAATTTTCCACAAGTTTATTTTTTAAAGGAATATGAGAAGCAGTTTCAAGATTGGACTAAACAATGGCAGTGTGCTGTGGCTAGCTGTGAACATCTTGAACAGCATTTTGTTCACCGATAATTGAACATTTTACACAGTCTTTATCACAGTCAGGCTCTTCTGTAATACTATTATCACTAAATAATAGGAGCTGCCTTTTATGGGCCAATAGGCCTTCTGCAGATACCTTCATTCTTGTGTTTTTATAATAGTAGTTGTCAGAAATTCCAACACCAATTACCACTAACTATAATTATCTAAGTTAATCATGTAAAGAAAATTAGGTCATAGCATCTCTTAGAAAATGCAACTATTGCTACATCACCTGAATTTGTATTTATTCATAATACTTACATTAACAGTATTGCGGCCCGGGCGTGCGCTCCGCGCGTATGCACGAAGTAGGCCTGGCGGTGCAGGCGAGCATGCGGGCGAGCGCTCGGCGACACTAAATGTGTATATTCATTTCAGTTTTCTCACCTTAATTCTCGTGCTACGTTGCTCATTTTGGTATCATTGTGTTCACAATAGAATTCCTTACAGGTGTATATGCATATAAGGTCCAAAGGCCAAGCTTGACTCCCCCACAGCAAAGCCTAAAGTCGGGAAAAGTTACCTGTGAGCGCACAAAATCAGTAAAATGTGTATACTCGTTTCAGTTTTCTCACCTTAATTCTCGTGCTACGTTGTTCGTTTTGGTATCAATGTGTTCACAATTAAATTCCCTGCAGGTGTATATGCATATATTTTCCAAAAGCCCAGCGTGACTCCCTTAGCAAAGCCTAAAGTTACCCGTGAACGAGAACCAATTATCACACCTGCAACCTAATGTGTATACTCGTTCAGTTTCATAACATCAATTTTCGTGTTACGTCGCTCGTTTTGGTATCAAATTGTTTGCAATATAAAGGTGCATATTTTATAACTAGTCCCATAATAATAGAGCAATAACTGGAATTTTAATTAATATTTTTATTTTGGACTCTCATCATTACAAAGTTATTTATATCTTTCCAGTGTTCTGACATAAAATTGCGTGTTACATCTTTAATTTTTGTATCAAATTGTTCGCAATGTAGAGGCGCACATTTTAATACTAGTCCCATAATAATAGCACAATAAATAGAATTTTAACAAATATTTTAAAATTTTTGACCAAAAACGTATTTATAATCTTTCAAGTGTCCTGACATCAAGTTTTGTGTTATATCTTTCATGTTGGTATCAAATTGTGCGCACTTTAAAGGCGCTCATTTTGAAGCTATGCCGAAGTCGATTGGATAGAAAATGAATTTTATACAAATATTTTTTGTATTGGATGCGAGCAGTGTTCTAAGCTAGGACACGAAAAAAAAAGTGGACACGAGGGGTGTCTAAAGAGAGCGATAGTGTTAACACTTTCCCTATCTCGTGACACATAATGCGTCACCAATTTTTCTGCCGAGTCCTATCTTGTGACATCATTTGCGTCCAACAATAAAATATTTGTATAAAATTTACTTTTTATCCAATCGACTCTGGGATAGTTTCATAATGAGCACCTTTAAATAGCACACAATTTGATATCAAAATGAAAGATGTAACATGAAACCTGATGTCAGAACACTTGAAAGATTATAAAATGTTTATATAATAAATATATTTTTGGGCAAAATTTTAAAATATTTGTTAAAATTCTATTTGTTGTGTTATTATTATGGGACTAGTTTTAAAATGCGCATCTTTTGATTGCAAACAATTTGATACCAAAATGAAAGATGTAACACGACAATTTATGTCAGAACACTGGAAAGATTTAAATAATTTTGTGATGATGAGCATCCAAATTTAAAATATTTGTTAAAATTCCAGTTACTGCTCTATTATTATAGGACTAGTTTTAAAATACGCGCCTTTATATTGCGAACAATTTGATACCAAAATGAAAGACGTAAGACGAAAATTTATGTTATCAAACTGAACGAGTATACACATAAGGCCGCGGTGTGCAAATTGGTGCTCGTTCACGGGTAACTTTAGGCTTTGCTGTGGGGAGTCACGCTGGGCTTTTGGACATTATATGCATATACATCTGCAGGAAATTTAATTGCGAACACAATGATACCAAAACGAACGACGTAGTACGAGAATTAACGCGAGTATTAACTCGAGAGAATGAGAAAACTGAGATGAGTATACACGTTTTACTGATTTTGTGTACTCACGGGTAACTTTTGCAGACTTTAGGCTTTGCTGTGGGGAGTCACGCCGGACTTTTGGACATTACAGTATATGCATATACACATGTAGGGAATTCTATTGCGAACACAATGATACCAAAACGAACGACATAGTACGAGAATTAAGGGGAGAAAACTGAAACGAGTATACACATTTTGGTGTCGCTGCATGCTCGCCCGCACTGCCGGGAGCACGACGTCAAATCTGCGGTGCATAGATTTGACGTCTTTGACAAAAGCGCACTTTCACATATGCGGTGCACCCGCGCCGCGTGCGAAAGTGTTAAATAATCTTTAAACTACCAGTCTGGGAATCAAATTAAATAAAAATTTTACCCATGACTGGACATAATTAAATCATGAATAAAATCAAAGTTTCCTTCCCGTTGTCGATAAAAGACAGACATAGTATTGTTTCCAGAGAACGCATTCCCTGGAGCGGGAAGGGAGGAGACGCCATTATCAATTAACACTTTCGCGCTTAGGATTATCCATGAGTCGTCACCGTATTTTCTTACGTTTCCGCATAACAGACGACGCCTGTAGTCCATCGAAAAAATATTTGTATAAAATCCATTTATTATCCGATCAACTTGGGAATAGTATACAAATGTTTGCCATGAAATTTACGTTTTCTCTAATAGCCGAACAGCTTATAAAAGAAAACAGCGTGGCAGTGAATCATCGTGGTAAAACAATTGTATTATTGACACGACGAGTGTAATTGACGTAGTTTTTATATATGTTGCCGGTCGAACGCATCCTTATGTGACCTTTAATACTTATGTTCTTATAGAACATTCTATTGCGAGCACATTGGTACAAAAATGAAATACATACATCGACAAATAATGTCAGGACAGTGAATTGAATATACACTTTTCAAAGCGAGTTTCGCCGATATGCTGCCGTGGGTAACACTTCGGCCACTTCCCACACTGTTTTGGGTGGGCTACGACATTGAATCTATATTTATATGCATATGTCCGTGTAGAGAATTTTATTGCGATTCCAATGATACCACAATTAGCGATGTAGGACAACTGTAGGCTTCGCAACCATTAAGAGAGTGGAAACATTTTGTTGCTGTTTGGCGCTCTTGGCGAGTGATCTGAATAGTTTTTTATTTGGTGTTGATAGTCCTTATGGTTTGGTGGCATTTTATAGATATGTTCTTATAGACAATTTTATTGCGAACACAGTGATACCAAATTTAAATACGTGCGCCTTCAATTATTATCAGGACAGTAAAAAGAGTGTACACTTTTTCGGTCTTACCGCGTAGGCGCGCGGAGCGCCGAAAGCATCTAGGGTATTATTTTTTTTTGAGCGCCAAGAGTATGAAAGTGTTAAGTCATGCCTGTGAGCATGCTCGCAAACCTCCACGAATATTTCTCTCTAGTCAAAGTGTTGTGGGATGCCAAATCTCCTATCATCAGCACGTCTTCGCTAGCCTGTGTAGTGCTCACAATACCCTTTTCCTGATATTTTTCATATTGAATGCAGTTTACTACTCTGTAAATCTTAGATAGGTGAATTCCAAGGGGAAGGAGAAATTTCAACACATTCCCTGGTGCAACACAAGGCATATCACATCATCATTAGAGCCTGACCCATGAGTTACAGCTTACGTGAGGTATTGCTTATTGCCAGGCCACATTCAATATAACAGCTAAGCTATACCTTGTATTATAATAAATAATAGACATAGTAAATTAACTCTTTCGTTCAGGAGGGACGTATACGATGTCCGCAATTAACTCTGCGGATGTTCGGGAGGGACATCTACGATGTCTGATTTTAATAGATTTGTTAAAATTATAGTTTTTATCTGATCATTTTGGGAGGTTTTTTAAAGTTGGGGCCAATGTCTACCAATTTTCTGTTAGGGTACATGTGGCATCAAAATTTGCCAAAAATACAGGGCTGTGAAAATAACTCAACAAAAATACAGGCTATAGTTGGCAATTTTCTGATTTTGAAGATGAAAGTGATGAAAGTGACAGTGATGTAGATAGAGAGTTTGTTGAAACTGAAATAGCAGGTGAAGATGAACTTGAAAGTGAGGGGAGTGCTGATTTTGAGCCCCCTACCACCACAGGCACACGTGGACACACCCCATGTAGGAAACGCAAACGTTCTGGCGAAGCCTGGTCAACTGATAACACTCCACCATTTGTAGACAGTTTTACTGGAACACCAGGCTTGACTGTACCAGTACCAATCACTCCTCTGGGAAATTTACAGTTATTTATTACACCCGGACCATCAGATGTGAGGCGGACACTATTCCCATCTTCACCTCGACATGACAATTCATCATCTGACTCAGAAGATGAGTCAGATTATTCCTTCTGGTGCTACTGCTAGGAGAAACCCTCGTATTGGTTGATAAACAAGAACGTCTGATCAGCAAATTGAACCATTCCCTATTTCGCATCCAGAAAAGGCTAAAGTGCCGTGTTTGCTTCAGAAATGGTAACAGGAAGGATACCAAATATAAGTGCAAGTTGTGTGCTGCACCATGTTCGGGCTTGTACCACAGCAAAAAAGAAATACTGGGTGGGTAATGCTTACCCACCATCCATTCCACCTATAAAATATCGGTTGAGCAACTTCAGGAAACAATTTCCTAGAGCAGGTGGAATGGTTCAGCCTAATGCTTAACTTATGGTCTACAAACATCACTGGGTAGTAAGTACAGCCTTTTTTTCTCTGTAGAGCATTCTACTGCAAACAAATTGATACCAAAATGAACGGCCTAACAAGAAAATTAACATTATCAAACTAAAACATTTGTGTTTTAGTTTGCTTGTACCCATGCACACAAATATACATTTGTGTGCAGGGGTAGTGGGTGTGCAAATGCATGCTCGCTCACAGCTAACCCTTGGCTAACTTTCACTTTTGCTGTGGGGGGGGGGGGGGGGCATTTTGGACTTTATATGAATATACTCCCTGTAGGGAATTGGGAACAAATTGATACTATATTGAATGACGTAGGATGAGAATTGGGGTGAGAATCCCACAAAGAGTAGACACATTTTAGTGGTGTTGCGTGTTCACTGGGTAACCCTTGGCCGATTTGTGAGTTTGGTGCAGATGGCACGCCAGACTTTTGGACTTCATATGTATACACTGTATATCCCTGTGGAGGAAATCTACTGTGAACAAAAAGATACTAAATTAACGCCATAAGATATCATACATATCTTCATACACTCCACACATACAGTCTACACACAGTATGATAAAAATCATACAGTCCACTTTA